CTGCAGAGGGTCAAGGACTGCAGCCTTCAGTATGGACTGAGACTCAATGTCAAGAAGACAAAGATTCTCACCACTGGACCAACTGGTAGCATCAGAATGGATGGCCAAGTGACTGAGATTGTCCACAGCTTCAGTTTGCTCCACTCCACAGTCAACACTCTTGGCACCAGCAGCCAGGAAAATAATCTTACACTATTTTAAATTTTTTTCTAAATATATGTGATACAAATATCCTGAACCAGGATTAAATTAACATCTCAAAGTGATACATACTATGAAAGTTTTATTTTAGACAATTTTTCAGAAGGAACATCATAATTCTATTTCTAGGTCTATATTTAACAACTCTAGTTAGTTTTCCCCAATTAACAGTTATAGTTAATTTCAAAATTAATTGCTATCATTTGCTACTTTACTTTGCTAACTACTGTTACTTGCTAATTCTATAGTATAATATATATATGCAAGTTATATGTATATAATATATATAGTATAATGTAGAGTTATTCTGCATGAGAAGGATGGGCAATCTCCTCCCATGCAGTTTACTGCCTCTGAAAACCTGCTGGAGGGTCAGCTATGCAGAAGTTTCTACTGGCTGGCCCACAAAACAATAACTTAACAAGATAACACTTTAAAGCCTGATTAACAAAGTAGTCATTTATATATATTTTTTAAAGGTAATTTATTTTTAAAGAATTTCAAACGTGAAACTATGCCAAAATTATGAAACGTGTTGAACCCTTTTTTATTTTTTTGAGATTATTTTAACGGGACTCAACGTGCATAAACATCAGTGTAAGGTGCAACCACTGTGGAAGGCGGTATGGTGCTTTCTCTAACAGTTGCAAATAGAGATATCATTTGACCCAGCAATTCCACTACTGGGAATACACCCCAAAGAGACCATAACTGACATCCAAGCAGATATATGCACACCCATGTTTATTGCGGCTTTGTTCACAATAGCAAGGAGTTGGAAACAACCTAAGTGCCCATCTAGAAGCGAATGGATAGAGAAGCTGTGGTATATTCACACAATGGAATACTACGCTGCATTGGAAAACAAGCAACTCATGCAATATTATTCAAAATGGGTGACCCTGGAGGATGTTATGCTGAGTGAAATATCTCAGTCACAAAAGGACAAATACTGCATGGTGTCACTGTTGTAAAACAGGACTGACCTTGGAGTTGGGAGGAGAAAGATGGGTTCAATAATGTATACTGCACTGAAACGGATGAGGAAGAAAACTGTTTAAGAGGGAAAATCATTAGGTGTTTTTGTCATGACAGGAGTCCAGAGCGAAGGCTGAATAGTGGCGTGGACCTGGGGGATGGATTGTAAAGCAATGAAGGAATTTTTCTTTTGCTTTTCCGGGAGAGTAGTGTACTAGGGGGGAGGGTTGGAAGGGGAGAGGGGTGCAATAATGAATGGAGTCCAAAGTCTATGAGAATTTTCACTGAAATTAATAATAAATTTAAAAAAACCCACATCTGTGTAAAATATGTGTGATGTAAACAAATAGAGCAGCTTGAGACTTGCTTTACACAGAAACAAAACAGCATTTGTTTGGAAATGTGAGGATCTGCCTGTGAATATGAAGTACTCACTTCTTCACTGATGAATTTCCACTCCTGCCTTTGCTCTTCACAGCACATCTCCCACTCCTTAGCAGCTTCCAGCACACGTAACCATTTCTCCCACAGAGCAGACACGGTTCCGAGCAAGCACCCGCCATCAGCATCTGTGCACATGGGGGTCAAGTGTCTGAGGATCAGCCGTAGTGTCACCAACTCTTCTTTACTTGATAGAAGAATTGACACCAACGCCTGAAAGAAAATACAGGAATAGGAATGCGATCCAGTCTTATCTATAATTTTTCTGACACTAATAAATGGGGGTTTTTTTGTTTTTTGTTTTTCTTTTTTTTTTTAATAAATGGTTTTTAAATCTTGAACAACTCATGATTTTCAATTTTCCACCACATTTCTTGATCTATGTTTTTAAAAGTCTTTATAGGGGAGCTCTGGTGGCCTAGTGAAAAGAAGCTGCACTGAAATATCAAAGGCACATGATTCAAATCCACCAGCTGCTCTGTGGGAAAAGGATGGGCAATCTCTGTGTGATTTACTACCTCTGAAAAACCCACTAGGGGGTCAGTTCAGGTTGGTTTCAGCTCAATGGCATACAGCAAGAACAACAACAAACAATTATATCCCAATTTTAAAAAAGAAAATTCCTATGGAAGCACATCTGTCAATCTGAGTTAAGTGGCAATTATTAGTGTATTTTTAAATTACTTCTGAATTTGGGACTGTGGGGAGAATAGTGTCTCATAAAACAAATGTTTTCTAACAAAAATTTATTTTCAAAGGTGAATATCTTGAAATATATTTTGTTGTAATTTAAGCCCAATATTTTATTAACCACTGAAGCAACTGTAGAACTTTGGGTGTTATTTGAGGTTTTCCCCCTCCTTTCCTCTTTTGGTAGATTTTAAAGAAGGTGATTTAGAATATTCTTATTCAAATCCTAATGCCACAGACTCTAACAGATGAAAATAAGAAAAATTAAAAGTGCTTAGCAACAAAGTTTAAACAAAATATTCAGGCTGCAGTAAGGCTGACAAGGTTTTGTCATTATCTAGTATCTAGCAAAACAGGACAAAATACAAAAATTTAAAAAGAGGAAATCGTGGGACCTCTGGTGATCTAGTGGCAATCCCAAAGGTACATGGTTTTAATCTACCAGATGCTCTGCTGGAGAAGGCGGGGCAATCTTCTGTGCTGAGTTCTGATAGTACACAATAGGGGAGGGCAGGGGAAGGAATCAGTAAAAAAAAATATGCCAGTTGGTAAGACTGTTCTGTGAGTGCAAAGAACTAAATTTCTCAAAACCATTGCTTCATTTTCTTTCTTGTCTTTTATTTACTTGTTATTCTTCGGTTTAAAGAATTTTCTTAAAAAAAATTTTTCTTAAGAGTAGAATGAACTTACCTTGAAAATTTCTCTGGGTTATAACAGAGTCAGTTCTCTGAAACCTTTACTCACTGTATATTTTGCACAGATTTACAAGAGACTTTGAATACCATTACCTTGCTCTGTTCCAAGCGTTCTAAAGCTTCTTTGTAAGATAATGGCAACTGGGGCACGGACTGACAAAGAACTTCCTCCATTTTGCTCAAGTTGATGCAAATTTTCTCTTCAATTTTTCTATAGCATTTGTAATTCTCAAGACATCTAATAAGGCACAGTTGGGGGGGAAATAAATTTTACTTCATGTGATAAATTTCTAACTTGCTAGAATAAATCTGTGTATTTAATAAAAGAAATATGAAGATTCTCCATATATTCATTGCATTTCAACAAACTTACATTGACTACTTTCAATGAATTTCAACAAATGTACATTGACTACTTCCATTTCAACAAATGTACACTGACTACTTCCAATGCATTTCAACAAAAGTATACTGACTACTTGAAACTGTCAACAACTTAATCTTGCTTGGATCTACAATTAACACCCTTGGTAAGAGCAGTCAGGAAATAAGGAGACACACTGCAAAGGGAAAATCTGCAGTTAGGGACCTTCCCAATTATTGAGCAGTACTGATGTCAGTTTGAGGACTAAGGTGCGTCTAATTCAGGCCATTGTCTTTCTGATTACTAGCTATGCATCTGAGACCTGGACAATGAATAAGGATGACAGAAAAAGAATTGATGCCTTTGAGCTGTTGTGTTGGAGGAGAGCACTGAATATTCCATGGATGGTCAAGAAAACAAATAGATATGTCTTGGAAAGGATGCAGCAGGGGTGCTCATCAGAGGCAAGAATGATGAGGCTTCACATACATACTAGGAGGTGCTATTTCCTGGAGAGGGACATGATGTTGGGAAGGGTGGAGAGTTGGTGAAGGAGAGGAAGACGCTCAACCAGGTGGACTGCCAGGGTGACTTCTGCAATGGGTTCTTGTGTGTCAGGAAGTGTGAGGATGGCGCAGGACAGGACTAGGTTCAGATCTTTTGTTCAAAAGTCTCTGAGTTGTACTCAACTCGATGACACCTAACACCACCACCACCACCACCACCACCAATAACAACACTTCCTGCATAAGTCTATTAAGTCCACATTTCAGTAGACATAAAAGTTTGTACTTAAAACACCTATGTTGGAGAGGTTTTATAAAAAGCTCACTTCACACCAGATGTTCTGCTGGAGAAGGAAGGGGCAATGTCCTCCTGTACCAGTCAGATCAGATTTGACAGTACACACACAAAAAAATAATAAAAAACAAAATTCTTTTTTTAAAAAAGCTCACTTCAGTAAAGTAAAAATTGTATCCTTAAACACTGCTAGCAAGATGTAAATGGACAAAATTTTATATAAAACCAGTCATAAAAATGATTTCATTTTTTGACTCATTTAGTCCAAAATTTAATCTTAAAAAATTAATAGTAAACATAAGAAGTTTATTCTAAATAAGAAAGACATTTTTATATAGTAAAAGCTTTTTTCTCCTTCTTCTTGTTGATTGCCGTCAGGTTGAGCACGACTCATAGAGACCCTAAGAACAAAAGGCCTGAAGCCTTTCTATAACTATTGTCATTTATCAAAGTTCATAGAGTTTTAAAAAGTAAAACTGAGGAAGCTCCGGTGGCCTAGTGGCAAGAAGCTGCACTGCAATCCCAGAGATATGTGGTTCTAATCCATAAAATGTTCTACTGGAGAAGGAGGGGAAATCTCCTCCTGAACCTGTCAGATCCAATTTGATGATACGCACACACAAATTAATAAAAAATTTTTAAAAAAGTAAAACTGGTACTTTTTATGTATAACACTGTGCTTAAATAGATTAGAACAATTCATTTTGTAAAATAGTATATAGTGATTTTAATTAATGAAGTTTGTTACAAACAGGAAAAGAATGCTATAAAGTTGGAGGAAAGGAAGTAAATTTTATATGTATGTGTGTGTGTGTGTGTGTGTGTGTATATATATATATATATAATAAAATTATAAATACAAATTAGCCTAAATCTCCACTGAAAGCAACTAAAAAATGCATAATATATTTTTGTAAAAGAAAAAAATCCTTCTAAAACATGCTAATATAGTGGTTAACAATCAACAAATCTTCAAACCCTCAAACTATGTGAAAATGAAAATAGAGGGGGAAAAGGCAAAGTTAGAGGACTAGTTTTTCACATTGATGGTACTGACCAAGTTCCAGTTTTCTTGTTCACTCCCTGAATTATAAGAGGCAGATGACAAAGACTGGAGCCTACCCAAGGAAGACTGTCTAAAAGAAGACCGTGTCACAAAGACATTGCTGTTGTTACTGTGTACCACTGAGTCAGAATCAACTCATAGCTGACCCTCCAGTAGGTTTACAGAGGCTGTAAATCACACATGAGGAGACTGCCCATATTTTTTCTGCATAGGAGCTGGTGTGATTTGAACCATGTGCCTTTGGTATGGCAAGTGTATCTACAAAGGAATGTGTAATCAACTCATCTGCGATTCATAGTGACCCTACCTACAAGAGCTCTGAATCCTGCCCTACCCTAAGCCAGTCTCACTGACTCCAACACACTTACCCCCATTACCCCAGTTACTGTGTCAACCCATTTCATTTGGGGTCTTCCTCTCCTGCACTGTCTCTCCACCCTTCCAAGTATGATGTCGTTCTCTAAGGACTGATCCCTCCTGGCCACATTTCCAAAGTATGTGAGATGGAGCATCAAAATCCTTGCCTCCAAGATTCACATGCCCAAAGTATGTGAGATGGAGCTTTAAAATCCATGCCTCCAAGGAGAAACTTGATTTTATCCTAAGATGGACCTGTTTGTTCTCTTGGTGGTCCATGGTAATACTCTTCTCCAGCACTACAACTCACAGGCATTGACTCATCTTCTGTCATTCTTAGTCATCGTCCAGCTCTCTGATGCATAGCAAGTAACTGTGAAGACCATGGCCTGTATCAAGCACACGTTAGTCTCCAGACTGACATCGTTGTTCTCCAGTACTCTGGAGAGGTCCCCTGACAGCAGACTTCCCCAGTGGAACTCATCTTTTAAGCCCTAACTGTTGGTGCCAAGTATGCTGATTGTGTAGCCATCGTTGTTGTCGTTACGTGCCATCAAGTCATAGTGACCTTGTGTACAACAGCCCTGAACTCTGCTCTATGCTGTGCCAACCTTACTGTTTCTGACACACCTACCCCCATTATCCCAGTTACTGAATCATTCCATCTCATCCAGGGTCTTCCTCTCTTGTGCTGTCCCTCCACCCTACCAAGCATAACTATCTTCTCCAAGGGCTGGTCCCTCTTTGCAACATGCCCGGAGTATGTCAGATAAAGCCTCTGAATCCTTGCCTCCAAGGAGCAGCCAGGTTTCAACCTCTCTCAGTCATCCCTAGTCATTGTCCAGCTTTTTGACACATACGTGGTACCAGAGATATTATAGCTAATGCTAGATGGATCTTGGCTGAAAGCAGAGAATATCACAGGAAAGTCAATCTGTGTTTTATTGACTATGCAAAGGCATATGACTGTGTGGATCACAACAAACTGTGGCTAACTCTGAGAAGAATGGGAATCCCAGAGCACTTGATTATGCTTATGTGAAACTTGTGCCAGGAGGCAGTCGTCAGAACAGAGCAGATAAACAATGCATGGTTTAATACTTGGAAGGATGTATGCCAAGGATGTGTCCTTGCTCCATACCTTTTTAATCTGTATGCACAACAGATCATCTGGGAGTCTGGGCTCTATGTGGAATGTGGCATCAGGATGGGAGCAAAACTCATCAACAATCTATGTTATGCAGATGACACAACCCTGCTTGCTGAAACTGAGAAGGACCTGAAGTGCTTGCTGTAGAACGTCAAGGACTGCAGCCTTCAATATGGATTGAAGCTCAACATCAAGAAAACAAAGATTCTCACCACTGAGCCAAATGACAGCATTATGATAGACAGTGAAGAGACTGAAGATTAACAGCTTCAGTTTGCTTGGTTCCACAAATCAACATTCTTGGTAGCAGCAGCCAGGAAATCAAAGGTGAATTGCATTGGGAAAAATCTGCTGTCAGGGACCTCTCCAGAATATTGAAAAGCAATGTCAGTCTGGAGACTAAGGTGCACCTGATCCACGCTGCAGTCTTCACAATTACTTGCTATGCACCAGGGAGCTGGACAATGACTCAGGGATGACAGAAAGATAATTGTGTAGATGAATAAGCTGAAATTGTTAATAATCACAATTTCTTCTCCATCTATCATGGTGCTGGCAATTGGTTGAGTGGTGAGAATCTTTGTCTTCTTGATATTGAGCCTTAATCCATATTGAAGACTACAATCCTTGACTTTCTTCAGCAAATGCTTCAGGTCTTCCTTAGTTTCATCAAACAAGGTTGTGTCATATGCATAATGCAAGTTGTTAATGATTTCCTCCAATCTTGATACCACATTCCTCTTCATTAAGTCCAGTCTCCTGAATGATCTACGGCCAAGATCTACAGCCTTTTCTAAATTCATCTTCTATATCTGGTAGTTCTCTGTTGTTGTACATGTTCCTGCCATTTCTGGATAATTTTCAGCATGATTTTGCTTGCGTGTGACATTGTTCACAAAGGATGAGTCTCCAAAATATTTACAAAGATTTGTAAAATAATGCTTACAAATTAACAAGAAAATCAATAGAACAAATGACTAAAAATAAAGGTTTGAAGAATCATTTTAGACCTGAGGAAGCCTGAATGTCTAAGAGGGAGATGTAATGCTAAACCAAAGGTGATACCTCTCTGGCAGCTCAAATCCACCAGTGGCTCCATGGGAGAAAGGTAAACAACCTTTGCACATGCACATACAGCCTTTGAAAAGCTGCTGGAGGGCCAAGTATGAGTTGGTTCTGACTCAACAGCAAAGAAAGTGAGTGAGGGGATACACATTTAAATAGAAAGGCAGGTGGTGGGGGTCAAACTCATTAGAAGTAACACAACACAAAATTTAAAGCACAAATCACCATTTCTCATCCATCAGATTCGCAAAAGCTTGCCAAAATAAGAAGTACTTGGTGTTTTTTTCCTAAATTAATTTTATTTCTTTCAAACTTAATATAATCTATAGATTCACTCATGTTATTTTCTGTACTGAATTTACTTAATTATGCATAGTGTTGGGGGGGAAGGATCAGTGAAAGAGAAGACGACCCTCAATGAGACGGATGGATGGACACTGTGACTAAGACACTAAGCCAAGCACCACAGAGACTGGGAATGATACGAGATCAGGCAGGATTGGGGGGGGGGGCGAGAGGGGGGGAGGTTTGTACATCAGGTCATTAAGAGTTGGAATCTACTTGATGGCCCCTCACAACAACTATATTGATGAATATCTGCATTGTTTTCAAGCTTTTGTGTTTACAAACAGTACTACTAGTGTTGCTAGATAACACTGAATTCGTTAAAATTCATTGTGACCTTATGTACCACAAAGCTAAACACTGTTCCCACTACCATTGTTAACATGTGAGCCCACTGCGGCAGCCACTCTTCCTGTAACCACCTCTCTGAGTCTTCCACTTCTCTAAGCTTCTGATCAGTGCTACTAGAACATATTCATATGGAAAAATATCATGAAGAAAAAAGGAATCGAATGCATATTTACCAGTTTTTCTTTAGATCTCCATATTTTCCTAGTTCTCTTTAATGTGCACCTGATAATTATTTAAAATAATGTATACTTTTTATATTGCATATTATTATATGTTTTATATATTATAGAAGTACACTTTTATTTTCTTAAAGCATTGCCTTCAGAAAGAAACACTTACCTTTCCACCTCAGTTCCCTTTACTTTGGCTGTCTCCCTCACAGCTGAGTTCTTAGAAATTAACTCCTGTAAAACACACTCAAGTTGTAGATTGACTTCAGGGCTGGATACAGCCCCCAACCTTCCACTGAGGTCTTGGATTTCTGCTATTGTCAAATCAAATTCCTCTTGTTTCCAATGAGAGAGGTGCAGTGACTGTTCTGGCTTATCAAGGTTCACTCTGTGGGACGCGATGATGGCATCAAGGGCTGTGATGAGCTCTACCGCCCTGGTGACCGCCTCAGTGTAGTGGCTCATATTTTCATAAGCGTCATTTAATCCATTCTGGAAAATCAAAGGGTAGATTCTGTGACAAAGTAGTCAAAATTCTGGGGTTTCAGTCACTCTTAAATTGGGATGCATTCATAATGGTATTGGTGTCTTCCAAGATCAGGAGACTCACACTTTAATACTGTACTCATTAGTATTTGCCGTAGGGTCAGAATTGTCTCACAGCTGATCCTCCAGTGAATCTTCAAAACTACAAATCACACAGGAAGAGACTGCCCATCTTTCTTCTTCAGAGCAGCTGGTGGATTTGGATTGCCTGCCTTTAGGTTGGCATCACTATGCCTTACACATTAGTGCCTCAGAGCTCCCTATTTTTACACTTCTTGTAAACCATCAAGTTGGAACTGCCCCATCGCTGACCCATCTTTTCCCGCAGAGCAGCCGGTGGATTCCAGCGATGTGCCTTTGGGATTGCAGCACAGTTCCTTACCACTAGGCCACCAGAACTCCCTGATTATTTTTATACTAGTACTTAAAACTATGTATCTGCTTGTATAAACAAAACGTTTCTACAGGTTTGCTAAGAAATCTAATCTAAGTTAAATAATACAACCCAGGAATCATATCTAATGATATAGGTTCCTGCTCTGAAACCCTTGTACTTGAACTATGAATTAAATTAATGCATCCACTATATAAAATCTGAGAGAGAAAGATGAGCAATCTCCTCCCATGCGATTAACTGCCTCTGAAAGTCTGCTGGAGGGTCAGCTATGGGTTGGTTCCAATTCAATGGTACTCAACAACCACAATATTATCTAAAACCATAACAAATAAAACCATGGGGGAAAAAATAAAGAGAAAATAAATTATACTTCTTATGTTTTCAAATTAATGGTTGTGCCATTAACTATAGCTTTGAGAATATCACTTAACATCACTAAACATTAATCTTCGCATTGAAAAACAATTGAAATAAATGTCTTTAAAGATCTCTTCTAACCCAGTTCAAACCATAATTTGGAGTTTTTATTACATATAGTGTTTCTCAAAATCGTATTAAAATAGAAATGTACTCCATTTAGTCAACATTCGAAAAACAGGTATTGAAAGAATATATTTAGGTTCATAATATGACTTTATTGTATTAATGACACTTTATATCTATCAAAATATATTCTATATTGATCCTTTACATTTAAGAGGAGGATTACTTTATCCAACCTATAAAGTGAAAATGTTGTGCAAGGACCTATGTCAAGCACAATGTGAATTCTAAGGAAGCCAAAGATAAAGACCTTTTATCAGAGGAAAGTAAAGGAGTATGTTGGTATTGTTCTACAACTGTTATTGTTGTTAGGTGCTATTCAGTTGATTACAATTTATAGTAAGGGTGTGAACTACAGACCAGAACCTTGTCCTACATTGCACCATCCTCAATCTCTGGTGTACCTGAGCCTACTGCTGCATTCACTGCCATCAACCCATCTTCCTGAGGAGTTTCTTCTCTTTCTTTGACCCTTCACTTTTCCCAACATGATACATTTGTCTAAGGACTTGCCCTCTTGATAACGTGGCTAAACTACTGTTTCATATGCTCTATAACATGGATCAGCAAACTTACTACAAATGGTCAGAGTAAATATTTTAGGCTTTTTGTCCATTTGTCTCTGTCACAACTATCCAGTTCTGTTATTGTAGCATGAAAGTAACCACAATCAATACACAAAAAAAGGAGTGTGATGGATTTCAGCAAAACTTTATTTGCAAATCAAGCACTAAAGGCAGAATTTGGTTGGGGGGCTTCAGTTTGTCAACCCCTGTTCTAGAATCAGATTTTAATTCCATTATTGAGGAAAAGACTCTGAGAAAAATTTTGATCTTTCTGAATGTCAATTTTCTTATTTTAAGGAAGGACTGACAACATTATCCAACTCATAGTGTTGCTATGAATAAATTTAAAGTGCTTAGCAGGTCTGAAATTCTAAACTAATGTTAACTATTATTTGTTGTCTTCTACATCAAAACTCTACCAGTATTTTCCATTTCTTAAAAAAATAAATAAAGCTTGGTTATGAGCTCTCTAGGGCTATAAGGGAAACACAAGTAAAGCTCAGACTCGTCTACTATGTAGTTACAAACCATGTTTTCAGGAGCTAATGACTGAAAATAAATTACTCTTCAAATTGGCCTGATGCAAATTCTCAAAGATGGTCACTCTCATTTTTTAATCCATATATGTCTCTCTAGAACTGATAATTTCTTTAGAAGTATCAATATTAAGTAGACTAAAACATACGTTAAAGGCGTCAAATTAAAATTAGAAGCTAAAGAAAAAAACTTACGGTGCGCAAAACAATGCTTGTGTTAAGCTGCATCTGGAGATCTTCAAAGTCATGCAATTTTGTCTCCACGTCATTCCTAGCTTCTGAATCGTGTTCTTCTCTCTGCTTATCAAGAGCAATTATAGCTTTAATGCTGAGAACTTCGGCCTGAAGTTGTTCTTGAAATGCTTCACAATCATCTATTTCATTTTTAATATGGTTCATTTCCAGCTCTGTAAGTAAAGGCTGTTGTAACTGGGACTTGATCTGATTTAAAACATGAAAGAAATTATCCAGCTTGTCCTGTAAACTCTCTTCCGTTCTTTCTTTCGGCTGCCATTCTAGTACCAAGTTTTGGAGAACTTGGTGTAACTTATCAATTTCTTCTGTGTACAGCTTTATTTGCAATATTTCGTTCTCTTTGAATGATTCATCAAAGATCTCACTTTCACTTAATTTCTTTATTGTCTCATGATACAAACCCGTGACTTTTTCTATTTTCTGATTTAAAATTTGGGCACTGAGTAAAGAGTTTTCTGGTGAAGTACTAAAGGATTTTAGCACCATTTCAGCCCTTTCTTTGATTTTTGAATCCACAGCCCTAATTTTACTTAGTGATACTTGATATCGGCCACGTTCTGTTATAAATAAGTCCAACTTCTTAATTCTTTTTTCTAGTTCCTTTTCTCTTTCCACTACTTGGACTTGCAATTTGTCAAGTAGTGAAGGATCCCAATTGAGCCCAATATAATCAAACACTTCTTTAAGTTTTAATACTTGCAAGATACTAGCTTGAACAGCTATGAGTCTGTCTCTCAGACTACAGAAGTCCTCTTTAACATCTTCTTGGCTTACTCCTTCATTTTGCAGCAGCTGATTTTGTTGTATATTGTCAACTTCCTTCTGAAGCCCAGATGTTTTTTCATTAAATTCTCTGTAAATATTTATCTTGTATTGCACCTCATCATTTTTATTTTGAATGAATCTTTGCGTTCTGTCGGCTCTAGCCTTCAGAGTTTTCAACTGATCGAACATAAATAACCTTTCAAACACAGTAAGATCTTCATTGAGGTTTTCTAGTTCCTCCTGATATGTTAGGATTGTACCTTGAACTTCTTGTAAGTCTTCCTGAGAGGCCTTCAGAGTGACATGCTGCTGTTCCAGCTCCACGTCTGTGGGGGACGCTACCACGCTAGGAATCATCAGTGTTTCATTTCTCTGCAGTGACCTTTGAACTTTCTCTATTAGGGCAAACAACTTTTTCCTTTCTTCCAGTTTATATTCTAATTCTTGTGACCTCTGAGTAGTTGCTAAAACTAGCCTTTGATACTGAGTCTGTAAATCCTGTAGGAGGTTATTTAAATCATTGGTTTCATATGCTGGCAGGTGAGGACTACTAGCTTTGACCTCTTCAGCCAAAGAGTCTACCACCTCCTGCTTCTCCAGAACTTCATCCTGTCTCACCTTGCACCTTCTGAGCTGTGACAGGACGTCTACTGGGAGAAGGGGAGCGGTAGGAGTGTATTCACCCAACAGATGCTTAACCCACAAAAGAGTCTCTTTCATTTTGCTCCTGATTTCACACTTCTTGATCTGATTTTCCACCTCTACGTATAATGGTTCCAGTGCTTCTAGATGCTTCTGCAAATTATTGATTGCAACCTCCACAGATTTCTTTTCTTTCTGTCCCCAGATCCTCTTCATCTGAAGGTCAGCCTTTCCCTTTAAAACAGAAAACCTATGTTCGAGGGCTTTGAGGTCAGTAGCCAAGGAAACCACACTTTGGCCCTCTTCCTGTTGTTCTGGAGAATCCAGTCTTAACTGCAGACGCTGCTGCTCTTCCTGAAGAGAAATCTCAATATCCTGCAGCGTACGCATCAGGCAGTTAAGTTCATCAGACTCCACTATTTGCTGAGAATACTTCTTCTGAACCAATTGTTCCACTTGTTCCCAACTATGCTCAAATTGCTTTATTTGGCTTTGCAGCAACTTCTTATCCATGTCAGAGAGATGGTTTGATATATTCTCCCACCTTACGTTGAGCTTGCTTAGAGAATCTTTTTCTTTTTCTATTGATTCCAAGAAGTTTTTAATTTTGTCCAGGTAAGTTGTAATGCCCAGTGTCCCCCTAGAAAAAGAATACAAATGGAGTTTGTTAATATTTATTATACATCATTAATGTATGGTGGT